GGAAGCGGCTTTAGATTCTCAGTGCTGTGCTTTAACCCGCTGCGCCACCAGGGAGGGCCCACTTAGTCCATTTTTAATGATCAAAGTTTCAACATGAAACTAGGACAGGTTAAAACCTAACATAATGAAATCTGATATTAACAAAATAAAAAGTCACATTGAAAATTAGAAAAAATTTAACCTGAGGGGGAGAGCTAAGATAAAATAATAAAGTCTAAAATTTACTGGCTAAAACTTGATTTAAAAAAAATCCTACCTTGATGAAGCTGAGGTTTGGAAAGTTTGACTCACAAAGTAAAAATGAATTTGAAAAATGATGTTCACAAGAGAAGACTCAGATTGATAAAAATATAATCAGTAAAATAAGAGCCGTAATAAATAGTTAATGATTTATTTAATGAATGAATAAATCAAATCCTTACTATACCATTTACTCAGAAAATAATTGGTCACCAAAAATAATCTTGGTGTCATCAGTATGAAAGCTAAACATACTAGAAATGACCTGTGCTTATTTGGAATTAAATAACTTTAATGCAGTTTGGTCCAAAAGATACTTTCTTTGAAAATAAAATGTTTGTATATTGTTTTGGTGGAAAATTCTTGTTCAGGTAAAATTCACAATGTGCAAATGATGGTGTTATGTTAAAGTGAGTTACATAAGTAGTTTGTAAATCCAGATTATTCACGGGGATAGAGGACTTTCCCATGGATGACCAGTAAAAGCTAATTTGATCTGTCTGTAATGAGCTTGTGTTGGTTTTGTGGCAGGACTTCACAGGCGAGAAGGGCGAGCCAGGAGACGTGGGCCTGTTCGGACCTCCTGGGCCCCAAGTAGGTCACTTCAGTTACGTTGTTCCCTTGAAACAGAAAGTCAAACCGTAGTATGTCTTGCTGCATGATCTACCTTCAAATCGTAGTATTAGCTAAAGCATGACAATATTTTACTGCAGAGTTGTGAGTTCCTAGAATTATCTTAAGGCTGAATCTTGGCGCTGTTCTCCAGGGCCCATGGTCTCCCTCTCCGGCCTTAGCACCTTCAGCTTCTGATTTTTTTTTTTTAATTAATAGTCATAAATGCCTGTCCCTCTTAGATGACCCATCGTTTGAACAGTTTATTAATATAGCAGAATGATCAGAAGGGTAAAACAAATGAAAATCGAAAATCAGCAATTTGCAAACCTTGTCCTCACTCTCCTTCCTCCAGGGGCCACCTGGAGGTTTCTACGGCTCGGAAAAAGGCGATCGAGGGGATCCTGGTGCACAGGTGCGTTTGGAAATTCCGGGTCACGTGCAGCCCGTGTATCAGGGCTTGGGGCATGTTAGGTTGCAGGTGTAAGAAACCCAAATCAAAGGAGCATAGATTTTTAAGGATTTGGGAAATGGTATTTGTGCAAATACCTGAGAGGTTCAAGGCTAAGACAGACTACAAGGACTTCAGCCCCAAAAGCAGTCGGGGCAGGACTCCCCCGGTTCCCTCCTGCTTCTCTCTGGGTGTCAGTGCATTCTTTCCTTCCCTGTAGGGGGCAACAGGGGAGAAAGTGGAGGAATATGGCAGCAGACAACTTCAATTAAAGCTATGGCACAGATGGCATCTCCCCATGTCCTAGAGAAAATCCCCGGGGATTGCCCTGCTGGGTCCAGCCTGGGGCGTATGTCTCACTCTGCAGCAATGGCCAGAAGGAAGAGGCACCTTGACTGGCCAGGCCAGGGGGCAGGGGTGCTCCAGTGACTGACACCTGTGGGGACCCACAGAATGTGGAACTGGTAGCTCCCCAAAGAAAACGGGGCTTGCTGTGGACAGAAATGAGACCCTGGGAAGGCAGAAGCGACAGGTCTCCTGTTCCACCCAGGTCTGCTATCTAAGGGTCAAACATGTAGATTGTTTAAAAGTTCTATATACACAGGCAAAAGTGAAGATTGTTTTTCTAAGAAAACATGTTCCACCAGAACAATATGTAATTGTATCATGGGAAGTCAGTTCTGTAATAGTCCATCCAAAAGCCACATCTGTTTGAAGAAGTGATGTCTTTTTTTTTTTTTTTTAGATTTATTTATTCATTCATTTATGCATAGAGAAGTGGGGTACAGGCCAGAGGCTCAGGGGCAGTGAGAGGATTCACCAGAGACAGAGTGGGGAGCAGAACAGGCAGATCAACGAAGTACACTGCTGAGGGGAGCAGCGGGCGGGTCAGGAGAGGTCTGCCGTGCCGTGTGGATCACCTCTGGGGCCAGGGATCGAACTTGCACTGAGCGGCAGCGGGCTCACTTGCAGTGCTGCAACCTAACCTGTTGCACCACCAGGGAGGGCTGTGATATGTCTTTTAAACATACGTTTAATTGTAGGCACATCCACATTCAAGGAATGACCAATAATTCATTAAATGGATGGTCACTGAATGCATCCCTCACTCTGCTCAGTGTCCCTTCACCTTCCTCCTAAGCTTGGAGGCACAACACGAATGCTCACTTAAACTTAGGTCTTAATTTGCTCTTGTGCTTTGACTGGCTTCTGCCTTCCCTGGCAGGGGAAGGTGAGTGTGTGTGTTCTGTTCTCATCATTTCCCCTTTTAAGCTCCTCAAGGGGGATGTCAATAAGGCTTTCCTGCTTGAGGTCAGCAAGAAATATATTAAGTTATTAAGTGACCTGTCCTTGTTGGCTTTTGTTTAGGGAACACCTGGGAGAGATGGCATCCCCGGCATCCCCGGCACAAAGGTAAAGACGGGATTGATCCATTGGTGTTGCGACAAGGTCATTCCTCTCAGATGAAAGACTGTCACTCACAGAGTGGTTATGAGTGAACAGAAAGCAGCTTTTAAAAAGCAACATTGGCGATCACAGTTTTAAACCCTCCCTGTGAAGAGATGTCCTCGAACACCTGAGATTTTGTTGTGCCTCCTGCTCCATTTTCTTTTCTACTAGGGAGCCAAAGGCAGCAGAGGCTTCCCTGGGCTAAGGGGTGAAGACGGTGTGAAGGTAAACCCTCCCTGACCTCCTGTCTCCAGCCTTTGTGAACTCATTGGCTCCCCCCCACCCCCACCCCATATGCCCTGGGTGAGGAGTTGCAGTCAAAGTACATTAACCTCGTTAGTGTCTGTTACTCAGAAGTGGGCGGTGTGGCAGAAGGGTGGGCTTACCGTAAAGAAGCTAAGATTGTTCTGTGAAGTAGAAGCTGGCTGGTTAAGGACCAGACTTCAACCTGTAATGAGGACAGAGCTGGAAAGGATGACAGTTGTAGAAGTTTTGCGTGATGGGGCTTCACCTGGGCCATGATATTCTAAAAGCTCTAGATAAATTCCTTGTGGACTTTATTCCATGGCATTGGTTTCTGACATTACAGAAATTCTCAAATGTTCAGACTCCAGACTATTTTACATATTTATATGCCTTCCAATAGAATCTGAAGTACCCTCAGGAGGAAGATAGTGAAGGGCCCCAGGTCCACTGGGACTTTGCCTGTAATTCAGGTTCTGCCATTCTGGGCCTCTGGCCTGGGCAGAAACCTGGGTGTGTGTGGAGCCTGCACAGTGAATGTCATTGGAGGCAGTAGCGTGAAGGAAACATGGAATCCCTACAACCGCCTTCATGACCTGTAGATAGAACTCCTGACTCCAGAAAATAATCTAAATCGATGTCCCTTTCATTTTGACTGGATTTGCACCTTACATTGAAAAAAGCATTGCTTTACACATTCTGTTGGTATCTGTATATTTTGCTCTTTACCAAAATATTGTATGTGAAAACTTTCAGTTATGATATCATAATTCACAGCTTCCCTTGTGCTACCTAGGGACAGAAAGGAGACACCGGCCCTCCCGGATATCCCGGTCCAGTAAGTATAACAAAGACACTCTCAATGTCATGTTTCATCAAGTCTCTCAGAGTTTCAAAGATACTGGAATCAGCATCTCCGTTAACTGGTGTGATGGAGACGACAGTCTGCGCCTCTTTATCAAGCCAGAGCAGGAAGGGCTGTTGTCATTATCTGTCTGTGGATAGTGGTCAGACAGTTCGATGTGGTCCAACTTAGCTTCTGAAATGCTCTAGCAGTTCTCATCCTGGACTGTGAAGATGAACGTCTCGGTCCAATCAGACCTGGTCCGGTGATCTTGTGGGTAGGAGGCTTAGCAGTAAGAACAGCTGGGCCGCCCCGATAAAGGCACCACCGCCACCCTCTCCAGCTGGATCCGGTCACAACAACTGCAGTTTCAGTCCTGAATTTAAAGGCATAGTCAATTGGGTGTTAGCCCCAATGTACTTTGAAATCATGTTAGTCCTTCAGCACAAACATTTTTTTTAAGCTGGAATAGAAGTAAAGGAAAAACTTCAGAGTTGATCTTATGTCATAATGGTAAGTCACTATGTTGTGAAAATAATTCCCATGTTCACATTCATCCATAAATCAATGTGTGTGTGTAAGTGACTATCAGCTAGGGCACATCATAAAATATTTTCCTAATTGAAAAACCATGAAATACATAGTAGCATGATACCAGAAAGCTTTTGTCTTTTAATCTATCCATCCCATACCCATGAGTTCAGAAGTCCATACATACATCTTGGCCAAAATGAAGAAATTGTAATAATCCACTTGGCAGCTGCCCATAAATAGCCACCCTTTCTCTTTACTTCTTTCTTTTTTAAGACAGAGTATTACGATATGTACTATCAGAAAGGAGATACAGGAATTCCTGGCCCTCCAGGACACAAAGGAGCCCGTGGTCCAATGGGTGAGAATAAACGTCTTCCTTTGGCACTTGCTGGTCATACCTCTTTCTCTCTCGTGGAATATATGATGTGACATTTGCTAATAGACCTAGGACTTGTAGGCAAAGAGGGGAGATCTGTTGCTTTTCATGGAAGTTTTGAATGTCACCTAGTTATCACTTCTTCACATGGCATCTCCTAGGAGCTCTACCAGAGGGAGTTATGTGATCTGTATGTTGGACAGCATGAGGTTGGAGTCTGGCCAGACACCAGCAGCCAGAGGGCAGGAAGAGAGAGGTCAAAACTCGGTGATCTCAGAGGATTACAAAGAAAAAGGGGAGGCCCTGAGAAGCTGTAGCTTGAGCAGATCCACACAAAGAATGACAGGAGGAGCCGGCTCTGTGAGTTAACGCCACAGTCGCTTACAAGCAGGTCCTTGAATAAGTTATTTTTTATTCACTGTCATCACATTATACTTTCAATAAGGAAAATAAATCAGTTCCCAGCCAGGGCCACACTGTGTGATCCCACTCAGTTTTTCTCCCCATATCTGTGCGGTTCTCCAGGGACTCCAGGTCCTCCCTGGTGTGTCTCAGTCGGAGCGAGTGAGAGTGGCCCTGGGGCAGGAGGACCTGTCCAGCTGTGGGTCCTGCCTGTGCCCTGAGCTGTCAACATGGGCTCAACCCACCTGTGACTCTTAATTGGAAAATACAGGTTGGAAAATGAGTGGAAGATGGATGAATGGTGATTGAATGAGTGCAAGTGAGTGTTGAGTATTCTAAGAATTTGGGGCCTTTATTTACATGTGGTGATGTTTTGGTGGCCACAGATAATGCCCTAGGAACTCATTCTTATCTGTATTGGTCAGTCTGTAGCAACGTGGGTTCTTTCTTCATCATTTTGCATAAGTCTCAGCACACTGAGGACTTTGGGTGAGGACCTAACTCTATCTATGCTTTTGACATAGAGCTATAGCTCTCATCCATGATTACCCTCAGCATTCCCAGGCCCTTCTAGATTAAAACCCTTCCAGGGTCCATCCCAGGGATCTGATTCGGCTATCTGGAGGAGAGTCTGAGGCCACACCATAGGAGCCCTATAGATCATTGTGCAGCCAGAGTGAAATCACAGGTCTAGGCAAGTTTTGGATGGAAACAGACTTCAGAGGAAAATTCTCCTTAAAAGAGTAGACATTCCTGGCATATTTCAACACATGGAAAGACAAATATAAAATAGGCTTTGAAAATCTATGTTTACTGTAAATCACTCATATGTACCAAAGAATTTGAGCTGCAATCATTAGCACAGCTGAAACCATCCAGCAAGATAGTCCAGTGGGACTCCAGGACAGTCATCTGGAGTCAGCTATTATATTTTCTTGCATCTGAATCTTCCAGCAAAGTCTCCAGTCAGTTATTTTATTTTCTTGCATCTGAATCATCCAGCAAAGTGCCCAGAACAGATTTCTAGTAAGTCGCTCTTGAATTATTTGAAAAGGTAAGATAGCATGACCCACTTTTGAGGGATAGCCATCTACACTTAGTTTCTTCTTGTTAATTTGTCTAAATAAGTGATGGTTTCTAATACATTTCTATGGAAAGTGGAGGAATAGTGTGAATAGTATTTATTGGTAATTATTACTGTCACCTAAGATTACAAAAATGGGGGTGGAGTAACTCTATGTCTTTGTAAGTAGCTGATCACTGCTGTGTTTTCCCAGGTCCCATCGGCCCCCCAGGCCCCCCTGGAAGTCCTGGTAGGTGCTTGATTCTCAGCACTATTGAAAAGGGAAATGCGCTGTTCTCTGTAACTGTGTGCTATTTACATAAGACAAATGCTTCATTCATTGATATAAAATTGTTTCCAACTTCTTGTTAATTTTGTGAACTACAGTGGAAAAGGGTGAGGAAATAGTCACAGTGTGATGTGAAATGTTCTTTCACTTCTCAATGGTTTTACCTGAGGATAAGACAGTAACTTGGGCAGTAGCCAGAGGTTCAGAGAAGGCGCAGAAATTTAAAAAATGATAGTTCTATAGTAACAAGCTTGGTGAAAATGATCACTTTATAATGTATCACAAGTTGCAAAGTGCTATGAGGTCATGCTTTTCACAAAAAGTTTTAAATCTTACAACATATCATTTATGTCCACTCCCTAAAGGCAGAAACACCCATTAGAGTGGCTACCTCATGAGAGAAGAGCAGGATGAAGAACGTTCCACCTGGCCTCGGTTTCCCTTTAATGCTGCAGTGTACCATTTTTGTGAAGGAAAAACACACACACACACACACACAGAGCAAAAAAATAGCCAAGATTTGACTAGGAAGCTATCTGCAGCCACTGCACCACAATTTCAATCCCCGGCCAGGGAGTGCCCCACGTGGTGTGGCAGACCTCTCCTGTCTTGCCTGCTGCTCCCCTCAGCAGTGTATTTCAGTAGATTCACCTGTTCTGCTCCCCACTCTGTTTCTGGTGAATCCTCTCACCCCCCACACCTGTGGCCTGTACCGCAGTTCTTATATGCATAACTAAATAAATCTTTAAAAAAAAAGAGATTTAACAAAACTTGCCTTTGATCATATTTTCCTCTGAACCTTGTTATCTGTTTAAACTATGTCATAATTTTTAAAATGAATCAAATTAAGCAGATGATGGAATGAGGTGCATGATAATCTATCCCGTTGTAAGAAGTAAGTGGCTAAATATGTGTACAGAAAACTATATACTGAACTACCAGCAGTGGGGAGTGTCTTGAGGTTAGAATGGCACAAAAGGATGTTTAGAACTCTGGCCAGAGAGTAAGAAAGACCTCCTTCTCCCTTCCACTCCCCGATAATGCAGTTTCCTTTAAAAAGCCAGTGGGTGAAAAATGCAAAGCTCTAAAACAGACCTCAACCTGAAGGCTTGGGCTATTCCAGAAGAGTCAGAGACAGTCAGACATGACACCCATTTGTTTCCGTGTCCATTAGTGGTGAGTTCTCTCTTCTTATTGACTAGACCATTTGTCAGGCAGCTTCCCAGGACTGCTTGCTCCCCCCAAAACACCCACTTATCTGGGAAGGACCTGCGAAGTGAGTTTGTACCCCTGGCCTGGCTTTACTCCCAGGACGCCTGTCTCCCGTTTGAGCCCTGTTAAAACTAAGACAGTTGGCAGGAACAAAGTCAACTGCAACTTCCTTGTCTGGGACAGACCAGAGACATCTTCTAGTCTCCTAGTCTTTAATAATCTATAAATACAGCCTATTTGTAGCACACATAGCCAATTTACAATAGAGCATATATGGAAAATTCCTCAAAGTCTTAGGAGTTAGAAAGACTGCAGCCTCCCGACGGCCCCTGTGCCTGTGATCAGCTGTGTAGACTGGCTGCAGGAGCCCCAAGACTGGCTGTGGGGCCCCGAACTCCCCACTGCTGTCCTGGGTGGTTTGCAAGGCCATGGCGGGAGGAAGATACTCACTGCTTGTATGCTCTGTAAACTTCGCACTTGTGCAACTGTGATGAATTAGACTGTGTCCATTTTTGCAATTGAAAATAAATACGTATGAATTAGGAGCAACTTTACATCCAGTAAAATGGTGATTTTTTTCTCCCAGGGTTGTCAAGGCCAGGCCCCTACGGAGATCCTGGACCTCCAGGTGTGAAAGGAAGTAAAGGGGAGCAAGGACCCCCAGGAAGGGATGCCGTGGGCCCTCCTGGGGCCCCAGGTTGCCCTGGCTCACCAGGCCCTAAGGGCTCACCAGGCTGTCCAGGACCACCAGGTAAGGCTGCCTGAGGAGATACCTTCGTGTGTGTGGCTGGGTGACCAATGTGTACAAGGCTGGGCAGCGACCTTATCTGCACTCATCTGTCCCAGGATCTGGGGCGTCTCTTTGGATTGGGGCTTCATTTTATGAGCCATCTGTGCGAGCAGCTCTGGGAAGCCCCCTGTGCAGTGGGGCTGCAGCCTGAGCCCCCAGAGGGCAGAGCTCGTGCCAGCAGGGACAGGGACAGGGAGGCGAGGAAGGAGTGATGGTTTTCCAGATCAGCACCTTAACTTTGGTCAAGTGCATTTGGGTGCTCAGTCCCTGGACAACATCTTCCAAGGCATAGAACTTTGTCTCAGTAGAATCTGCCCTAGGAAGAAAGAGCAAGAATAGAGCCACCAGCTGTTTTTAAATATTTCTCTTCATCAGCATGGCCTTCAACTGGGTTTGAAATGGCAAAACCCAAAATTAGACCACAGAATATAGAGGTTGTTCATTGTAACATCATGGTAGCTGCTACGTGGTCAGCTGGATGGGCACAACATGATCAAGGGGTAGGGGAAAACAGATGACACCCCAGGTCCAGATGTTTACACTCCGCATGAATTAACCACCTACAGTCTATCAGGAAGATCCAATTTGTAGCTGAGCTGCACAGAGGAATGAAGCGTTGACCCTTTGCTGACGACAACTGTGGATGATCTTGCAGTAATTGGAAACAACTAAATAAGATCAGTTGGGTTGATTGTATGATGAAAGGTTATATAATGAGCTGCTGCAACCGTATTAAAAACACACATACAATTACATAAAAGGAAGAGCAGGTCAACAGGTACCAGACATTTCAATTGCTGTCAACTTCAAAAGAGCTTCAAAAAAAAGAATGGGAAAAGCACATAAAATGATCACATTACTTAAACACTTGCTAACTAAGAAAACACTTAATTTTTTTTTTAATTTTATAACAGTTTATTTTTACATCATTTTGTACATTTTTTTTCCATCTCAATTGTAATCCCTGCGGGTTTTCCATCACCAAGTCACCCGTGTGCCATCACCATAATCCCGTGCATTTCCCTCCCTCCCCACCCCCCCGTTTTTGATCCCATCCCCACTCCACCCCCGCAAAATGTCTCTGGTATATGGTTGTTCATTATTTTTGTTATTTTTCTCGCCTGGTCCATTATATTCCTGCTATGAGTGAAACCATCTGGTATTTTTCTTTCTCTTTCTGGCTTATCTCACTAAGCATGATCTTTTCCAGCTCCATCCAAGTTGCTGCAAAAGACAAGTGTTTCTCTTTTTTGGTTGCTGAGTAATATTCCATTGTATATATGTACCACATCTTTTTTATCCAGTCATCTACTTTTGGGCATTTGGGCTGCTTCCATGTTTTTCCAATTGTAGATAAAGCAGCAATAAACATGGGGGTGCAGGTATCTTTTTCAATCAGTGTTTTTGTGTCTCTTGGGTAGATACCTAGGAGTGGGATTGCTGGGTCGTAGGGAAGCTCCATGTTTAGCAGTTTGAGGAACCTCCAAACAGGAAAACACTTAAATTTAAAAAGATGCCTTGTCATTGTCTTTTTGTAGGTGACGTCATCTTCCGCAAGGGCCCACCAGGAGATGAGGGGTGTCCAGGCCAGCCGGGGCCTCCTGGATCCCCAGGGATGAAGGGGTTCAAAGGTTGGTTCAATCAGAGGCTTGTTCTGTAGATAGACTGTTCCCCTCATCATCTTAGCACTGATATTGTGTTCCTCTGAGGCAGCCATCACCCAAGCCATGTCACCGGAGGGTGATTCTGTCCTAGGACAATTAGCTCAAGGTGTGCCTCTGTCTGTCAGTCAGTTACTTACTTAGCAGCTGCGATATAAACAGCAGTTGGATATAAACAGAATGTGAAAGAAATGCTGAGTGATGTTTTTATTAGCCTCTCAAGATGTCTTCTCTGAACATCAAGCAGCTGATCTAGCAGATAGAATAAATATTTTTTTGTTTATATGTGTGATATCTTTGGTGACTTTCATTGCTACAGAAAATTTCCATGTAACAGATGGTTGTGTTTGGGAAGCATCTGTTCTTTTTTAAGTTTATTTTTGCACAGAAGAACTAGGGTGTAGGGCAAGATGTGGGGACTAAGAATTCACTAGAGACAAGAGGGGGGAGCAGAACAGGCAGATCGACTGGAATCCACGACTGGGGGGAAGACTGTTGTGCCGTGTGGATCAGCGAGCTGGCTGGGGATAGAGCTCGTGCTGCAGTGACGATAGCGCTGAGCCTGAACCCCTCGGCTCCCAGGGAGGCCCTGAGTCCTCTGTCCTTCCTGAGGGTTGTGGGTGTATCAATAATGTTCACGTACTGTCGTTGCAGGGGAGCCAGGCATGCTGTGTACCCAGTGCCCTTGTGTCCCTGGCCCTCCCGGCCCCCCGGGGTGTCCAGGGTTGGATGGCGCCAAAGGAATCCCAGGTACAGACAAATTTTCACATAAGCGTGTTTGCAAATAAAAACAAGGTCAAATCCCGTAAAAAATAGAGCTAGACTCTTGGGTGGAGGGTCTGTGGTGCGGGTTACATGAATTTGATTGGAGATTTTCAACAACCTAACCTGTTAACATGAAATAAGCCCCGATCTCATAAAAGTCAGCATTTCCCCCAGTATTTCAGTTGTGGAACTTTAGCAAACATGTGTCGTCCAGGAATTATAAACTCAGATTCCTATAGGAGACATGTAGGTAACGTGGAGGAATGAAGCAGCTAGACTAAACACACAGCCCTTTCTTCTTCCAAGAAAAAATAATAAGTTCCCGTCCATATTTTGCTTAAAGGACATTGCGCTTCTCAGTCTACTTTTTTAGGTGTTCTTTTTTTGATGGGGTCATGGCCTTTTCTTAAAGGTACAGGTCCAGTCTAAAATGTGCGTCAGTGTCCTCGGTACTGAGGACAATAGAGAGTGGTGAGGACTGCGGTAAATTGCCGGGCACTCGAGTTTAATCTACTGTGATTCTGCAACATTTTAGGCTCTGGATCCATACCTTTTCCAGTTTTTCATGAAACAAAAGAAATTCAAATTTCTATCTGAAATCATGATATTTTGGGAAATTTCTGCCATTAAGTTCAGTTTTGAAATACAAAACCTTTTCATCATCAAATTATCATTAACCAAAAAACCTCAAGTGACAGAGCCCTTGGTCTGTGTGCTAGTTGGCCTGGGTATCTCATGGACTGCCACCCCTTTGATCCCCCATCAACCCTGGAGCAAGGGCTGTCACTATCCCCATTTGGCAGATGGGGAAGTTGAGGCATAAGGAGACATTGCCAAATCTAGATGTTCTCCTAGTTGTAGCTCTCCTCTTGGGCTCCACCCAGGCACCCCTCAATTGCCGTGCCAAGGCTGCCCTATGAGCAAATTAATCCAAAGTTCTGCCTGGCAACAGAGATAAGGAAACATCTGTATGTTATCACCATCCAGTAGACATGAAGGCCAAGGTCTTCAGGGAGGCCAGGTCTCAGTCTGAAGAGAAAAGGCTACGCACGCATGGCTGTGACCGCATGGCCCGAGGCCTGCCATGAGAGGATTTGCATTTGGAGAGGGATACAGGGTCACTTCAGATCCTACCGTTTCTTTATGAACACTATAGTCAGTGGCAGTGGCTGCCCCCAGCCCCTGAGAAAGGCCTGAGATGGAAGGAGGGAGGGAGGCAGGAGAACTGGCCCTTCCTATTGGATGCCCAAGTCTCTGGGGGAATGTTCTATTTAGACTGAAACTAAAAGGAAAGAAAGAGAAAGGATGTCAGAAAAGCAGTCATTCCTTTTTGCATTTTCCACGAGTGACCGCTAGCCTGAGGCCAGATCTAAGTGGGCAGCTGATTGCTGTTGACCAGTTAGTCACCTCCTTGACTTTTTCTGGTTTCTCCTGAATTGGCACGTGACAGCCATAGATCACAGATGAGAGATGAGCAGTAAAAACATTTGGGTTACTCGCAAAAAGTATATCCTCGCTTAAATTTTGCAAAAGAAAAATCTGAACAAGCATTTCTAATAAATTGACCTAAGAGCCACCCAAAAGATCTTCTAAAGGGGTCATCTTTATAACGAGAGTAAATAACAAGAAATACAAAGTTGTGCAGGAAAGTGCAATTTGGCCACCGATATCCAAAGCTTCAAAAAAGTTTCTGCTTATTTGCTCCTGCAGTTTCCTTTTTGAGAATGTATTGGAAAAGAAATCATTGGATACATTTGGAGCTAAATATCTGGAGGTGTTAATTGTACTTCTTTGGCAACTGCTAAATGTTGAAAGAACAATTTCCATGTTCAAAAGAGCACAGTCAATGATGGTTCATCCACAGGACAGACAACAGTACAAACAACTAAAGCCACGCTATAAGTCTATTTGTGGACTTTAGTGCTGTGTGATTCTACACTAATGTATCTATAAGTCTTATGCATTTATAGATACAAATTTTTATGAGAACTATAGATAAAAATGTTAGCAAGTAGTATCTTTCATAGCAAATTTATGGGTAATTTTTAATTATCTTCTTTCTGTATAATTTATTACTTTTATTATCAGAGAAAATAAAAGTTTCCTTTCAAAATTATAAAAACCAGAAATTTAGGAAAGGAAACAAATCTAAGTGTTCTTGGGTTTTGTATTATCTCTTTTTCCAGTTAACTCTCAGTATCTCCCTATTTCAAAATAGAATGATATTTCTTTCCTCAAAAGGAAACACTGTTTTCTTCAGGCACTGACTTACTGTGGCTGCTTAGAGTTGGTGTTTGATGAATATTTAACACCTCATTGTCTGACAGGAAGACAAGGGCCATCTGGTGATAAAGGAAGCCCAGGCTCCCCAGGAAGTGTGGGTCCCCCAGGATCTCCGGTAAGATTTTGTAGTTCTGAAGCTTTAGTTTCAGTTTGGATTATGAAACATGCTAGAAATGTGGTTGTAGCAAACACCTGTGATCCATCTGGTGCCTGGCAAAGAGTAGGCACTTCATAGGTACTTGTTAACTCAGTCAGGGCATGAGTGATGTAGGAATAGGTAGATGGACAGTTGGATGAATGAATGAATTTTAGATGGTATCAGAGACAGAACACAGAGCAGTGGTTGCCTGGAGTTCTTGAGATAGGGAACAAGAACTGACTGTAAATGTGCTTAAGGGAATTGGGGGTGAGGGGAGGGGATGAAAATGTTTTAATACTGGCTTATGGAATTTTGGTAGAAATGAATACACTGAGAAAAGCCATTGAATGATATTCTCACAAAGTATAATTTAGTGGTATATAAAATGTACATAAATGGTATATTAGCACCATAAAGTTCTTAAATTTAAAATTTTGATCAATTTATCTAGAAATCAAATTATTTAGACAGGCTCATTAAAACATCCCAGTCTTTTGACATCATCTGGATCATGATGATGGTACAGAATTGTAGTAAATGGATTTGTTCCAGTTTGGAAGCAAAAACAAAACAAAAGTTTTAAAGTATATCTGGGAGCCAAAGAAGAGCCTTTAAAAAAAAAATGCATGTTCATTAGACTTGAAAATTTCATGTTGACTTTTTATAAGTGTAATTCTACCCAAGAGGAACTCTACCCAGACATGATGCAGACTCATCTTTGTACCTCCCTAGGGATACCCAGGAGCCCCAGGTGACCCAGGCCGTAAAGGAGAAAAAGGTGAAATCTCTCAGCCAGAGGGATCAACGGGGTCCCCAGGGGACCCAGGGTACAGAGGGCATCCTGGAAGAAAGGGTTTGGATGGGACTCCTGGAAGTCCAGGAATGAAAGGAATTCGAGGACCTAAAGGCAATCGGGTTGGTATTTAGTGACTTTAAAATTCCTTTCCTATAAATGAAGTGTTCCGAAGTTAAGACAGAGAGGGAGTCCCCTCAAAAGGTGGGGTGTGGCTCTCCTCTAACTCCAAAGTGAGGCAGCCTAGAGTTAGCAACAATGACCTGAGCAAATATATGTAAGATTTTTTTGTTTTGTCAATTGTAATCATTTATTCTTAGGTGAATTAAATAATGAATGAGAATCAATTGCATTAGTTAGTCCAATTTTTGATATTTGTAATTTTGTTTTGTGGTTTTTATTTCTTATATTTATTTTAACAAAATACAGTCATTAGCCCAAAGAAGATGCCATAGCAAAAATGACTTTATTTCACCCATATTGCCATTGCAGGTGTAAACCAAGTAAGTTTAGAGAGATCAGAAAATGATGAATAACAGACCGTGAGCAGCAGTTAGGCTCACGTGTCTCTCGTGTCATGCGGCCCATCCTCATCTATATCTGTGAGGCTCTGGCGAGGCAAGCTGCCCTGCCTGTTCTAGAAAACACCAGTTACTCTCAGGGTTAACCAGCGCCACTCAGTACCAGGGCATCCTGGCAAACAAATACAAAAGATTCATTTCTAGACTCGTTAACATCGGAATATGACTTGTGACCCTCAAGATGTACGATGTGCAGTCTTTACTAGACCTTGGTACGATATGCTGTATGGCTAAAAACGTCCAGCAGGACCAGTTTATTCTAGACCTCCTTGTGCAAACTGCCAGACTGTCCCCAGATGCTTGTAGAGAGACAGTCTAGAATTCTTTTGGTCTAACATCCACAGAGTTGATAAGATGCTCCATTTGCATCTCACTAATGTCTTTATTAGTAAAAATGTTCTAGAACATAAGAGAAAATCAAAGAGGTGATTTGCTGAGTCTTATGCCCTGTCATTATAAAAAAAAAAAAAGGACTCTTTAGCCACCTAATGATACTGAGTAATGAAAACCCCAGTCAAATATATGATGTGGTGCCATGATAGAGAAGAAACTTCAGAAACTTTCTACGATTCAACTTCCTTAAAATAAAACTCAAAAAATTAAAGTAAAATGAAATATATAACTCATTAAATAAGTTTTACTGTGTATAAAATAAAAAATAGATGTAAGAAAAAAATTAATACAAATGGATTATTACCTTCGTGATGAAAATACCTGCTGGAAACCATCCCAGTAAAGGTTTTTTGTACTGATGTTATTTTAGAAATGTGCAACTGACTTGGAGGTTACTTCGGAGGCCATTGAGTGGTTGGCCAATGTGAACTAACTTTGGGGGACTGTATTCATAGGGGTGAAATACCACCGTAGGCCACCTTAAGTGGGACTCAGGAGAATTCCAATTTAATAAAATGTTACTGAACTCCAAAGGGCATGACATGGCAGAAAGTCTACTGTACTCTGGTCTTAACGATAATTCCCTCCAAGTGATGAAAACTTTCTGATTGGAGAGCCCCTCAGTGGTGGCCTAGCGGCACAGGCAAGTGGCCAGGGTGTGGAGACACTGAACGAGGCACCATGCAAACATATTCCTGTTGTCATAGGCCCTGAGTGGTGAGAAGGGGGACCAGGGTCCTCCAGGGAATCCTGGCATCCCTGGGCTCCCAGGACCCCCAGGATCAGCTGGACCGCCCAACTATGGACCGCCGGGAGAGCCTGGCCCAAAGGGCAACCAAGGCGTCCCCGGAGCCCCTGGGCCACCTGGAGAAGCCGGTTGGTTAGTTTTCTTCAGTCCTGTTTTCCTGGGGAGTGGGTGGAAGTTCCCAGAACTAGTGACGCCCCTTCATTCTAATGTGTATATAGACCATGTCCACTCAGACAGCGGGAAGGAACAGTAAGATATGTTAGAGAAAATCTATTTTTCTGTGTTACAGGGCTATTCAGCTGAAGTTTCCTAGGATGGAAATAGCCATTGATAAACATTACTGATATAAATATAATGGAAGGAATAGGGATAAATGGAAGTCTGTTATGATAAGCCAAGGGGAAGCCACAGTCTATGAAAACAATCTTGTTCTCAAGATTGTTCAATCTTGTTCTCAAGATTGTTCTCTTCTTCCAAGTTTCCAAGGACCACTCACATTATTGCAAATGTGTTCTTCTTGATCTGTGGCCCAGTAGATGCTTATGAATAATACTTTAACATGCCTAAGATACATGCAGGAAAGGTGTCTGTTAGTGGTTTGAAAGTCCTGGTAACTGCACAGAACATGATTGCTGGGTTCATGAGAGAGCCAATCCTCAGTGTTTCTGTGTGACAATGAAACTGGTGGTTACATGCCCCTGATATTTTGAAATAACACCACTTGGTCACTTTTTACTTCTAAAACCGCCTTAAAGGATGAGATATTTGTCATAAATATATGAACATATTGGCAATACTAATCATGAAGATGTTTCTATTGTTGGCCATTGTGCTTAAAACATTATCTCAAGTCTTGACTGACGAGGTAGTTGTCATTCCCCAGTGAAGGTGAAGGACTGTCAGAGGTGAAGGAACGTATCAGGTTCACAGATCCTGGAAATAGCAGTCAAACCTCAAACCCACATTAGTCTGTCAGACTGAACTCCATGTTTGGCTCAATATACCATGCTAACTTCTGTGAAAAGTTGTCACCTAATAAATAAAACTCCTACGAGCGTTCACCAATATATGAGCTTACTTCTGTGTATTTTAGAGTAGACTCTCTTTCAGTGGACCAGCATATTGGCTATTCATTAAAAGAAATCTCCAGCAATTACAGATACTTAGAAATATTTGTCAGTTGAATAAGAAAGTGTCTATGGGCTGGTCCTTTATAGCCAGTTCTGAAACCTGTGAAGAAGACATGACTTTATATATTTGGGGAAACATGTTTGTAAACCCCTTATCCTATTTTCCCTTCTAAATCAAGAACAACTTCAATATGTACACTCATGATCACTAATTTCCTTAAGGTCGCAAGGGAGAAGCGCGTTTTTCAGTACCAATCCCAGGCCTCCCAGGGCCTCCAGGGCCTCCTGGTCGTGCCGGCCCCCCAGGTCCTCCTGGTAAGTGTTCCCTTTGCCAAGTCAGGCCAGGGCAGACTGTGCACACCACTCCCCTGGAAAAAGATGGTCTTGTTATAAAGAAGAAATAGATTCATTGTCTTCAAAAGAGAGCATAGAAAGCGTAGACCAGAGTCCTGGCAGATAATAAGCCACAGGCAGGGGACTTTCTCATCCTTTGAAGTTTTCCAGATCATCCCCATTGGTGCTTCTGACTCCAAGAAACAGATGGCTTAATTCAGAGGAATTCTAGAGCAGGACCGTCCTCATGGGCTTTGGTGGGGAGGCAAGCACTGTGTGCCTTTCGCTGGTAGCGTCCACAAACTTTGCACTTGTAAACTGGACTTTTTAGCAGTGATCTAAAACCATATTTTCTAAGCATGGAGTTCAAGAAACATGGTATATTTCTTTTTAGGAATTACATTCTATTTCCGGAATTACTTGTAATGCCTAATGATCACCATTTGGCTAGAGATGGGGAGGAAACAGTACAGTTGGGGTGATGTTAACATTATTATTTCTTTCCCAACTTGGCCTGGGAGAACAAAGAACTGTAGCAGTATTTTTGCGGGGGGGGGGGGGGCAAACACAGGAAAATTGCTCATGTGGCTGAATGTGTGCTTCCTAGGTATCCCTGGAGCCAAAGGAAGGTGTGGTGACCCTGGTCTTCCCGGGGATGATGGTGAGCCAGGAATTCCAGGAATTGGATGTCCTGGGCCTCCTGGACCAAAGGGTAAATGTAAAAGGCTTCAAACCTAAAGTTCACTGGTGGGTTTTGACAGATAGAAGTCGATGCGAATCACATAGGAAATAGCCACAGTATTTTTTTAAATGATATGTTCTGACAGTCTTAAATGAGGAAAATTTGATGCTAATATTAGGTCAAAAAGGGGAGAATTCAGTTTGATTTATACATTCTCATCTCAGACTGCCTATCTGTAAATACATAGGTAGTTTATTAAACTGCCTTGTCTATTTTTCACAATATAGAATTTCCCCCATCTGATGGGGGAGAAAGTGACCACTTAAGATGCTGGAGATGTTTTGTCTCTTGACCTGGCTCATGTGTTTCCATGTGGATATATTCACATATAAAAATTTGTTTAGTTGTGCTCTATATGTAAAAAAAAAAAAAATCCATGAACTAGTCAATGATTTTCAATACTTGCTGAATCAAAAAACTGAGTAGTGCTAAAAAACAAAAAAAGAAATGCTGGGTTTTTTTAAAATAGGAAACGACCCTACCATGGTTTGAAACTGAATTGTTTTCAGTTGCTAATTAGCTGCTGGTTTACTCATCATCCAAATTTTTATGGCATCTCTAGTCACTTGCCCCTTTAAAAAAAAATGACAAAAGACAGTGATACTGATGGGAATTTTTTTTAGGTCTTTTTATTATTATCATTATCATATTTTTTATATTTTTACATTGTTCTTCATTTTGTGCATTTTTCATCTCAGTTTTAACCCCTGTGGGCTTCCCACCACCAATTCACCCATGTGCCATCACCACAGTCCAGTGCTCTTATCCCACCCCAGTAATGAAACTAATGACACAATCTTACTCTTTTTTTCTCTGTAGGAGATCAAGGTTGTCCAGGAACAAAAGGATTACCTGGTTGTCCTGGAGAAATAGGAAAACCGGGGTTGCCAGGAGAGCCAGGTCTCCCAGGAGCCAAGGTCTTGGAGAATTCAATCTGCCCTCAATTTGGGGAGCAAGGGGGAATTGCAGTTGGCCAGCTGGAATGCCCTGTATATTTAAGGATGAGGAAGAGAGCAAATGCTTGCGCTTCTCTGATGCATCCCTCCCTTTTTCTTCCTCAATCTTCAGAAATGTTTGGAGTAGTTAAAGTGGGAGGATTCTAGAAAGAAGCATGAATTGTTATGAGAAATCTGCCACTAGTAGAGACACTGAGGCTATTGCCAGAAAAGTCCACAGTCTTCTAAAACAGTGAATCATGAAGCATATTTTCTTAAAAAGCAGCAGCAAGTAGAGTTGCAAAGGGAAGGTTGGTGGACTGGGCATGCACCCACAAAAGGCCTCTGTGTCTCCATAGCAGAGAGACAACCTTTGTGGGAATAGCCCCGAAGATCTCCGAGTCAGTAAGGATCTGGAAACATTATGTGGCAAAACTAACATCATTTCTGTGCTATAGGGAGAACCAGGACTAGCCATGCCTGGAGGGCCAGGAACACCCGGTTTTCCAGGAGAAAAAGGCAATTCTGGGGAAAATGGAGAAATTGGACTCCCTGGACTTCCAGGTCTCCCTGGAATTCCAGGAGCTGAAGGGCTTGATGGACCACGAGGTACAATAGCAAGTGCTCTTACTGTACTGTGAGCCCAGCTAAATGCCGCGAGTTGATATGTAGTTGCTCCAGGAGGAAGAACTCTTCTCAGACTGACTCCCAGTTCCATAAAAAGAACCTGAGGAGCCTAATTATTTTTCTGTTCCACCTTGATGCCCTACCTTTATTCCTTCTCTCCTTCTTTCCTTTGTCTCTAATGAGTGGCCTCCATAAAAGGCGCATTAAATACAGGTTCAACTTAGGGACCAAGAGCTACTGGAGAATGATTGGGATAGCAATACTAAGACCTTGGGTTTTGCACCTGGGCATCTTCTTGAATTTACTTTGCAGGGGATCCAGGCCTGCCTGGAGCTCCCGGAGTGAAAGGACTCCCCGGGAGGTGTATGGAGGGCCCCATGGGAGCCCAAGGCCTGCCAGGCTTGAATGGATTGAAAGGGCGACAAGGTAGGCAGGTGACATGGGACTCCTGCTGACAGCTTAGCTGGGACAAGTCCTGGTCATCAGGGGGCATGGGGGGGGGGGATGTTATGGCAGAAAGAGCAGCCTCATCATCATGGTTTTGTTGCAGTGAGTACCGTAATCTGTCGAGTAAGAGACCTGAACTGAATGTAGAAAGCTGGTTTCTCTCTTGTATGCAAGGACATCTGAACCATAAAGAGTTTAACAAAGTACATTAATTTCTTAGACAAAGCTTTATGTTTAATACTTCCAGATTACATGTTTAACATTACAAACTATGTAGTTGATTGCTTTGTAAGCAAAGTCAAAGAAAAGGGGGTGTGAAAATAAGTCTAAATAATGGTGTAAGTGATGGGAATCTTTACCTTTTGGTAAGCAAACCATCTCTGGAGATAATCCTTTAAAATCTAGCTCATACATGTGTGCTGTCATGCTGCCTACATGCTTGTAAACAAATTTTCGGCCGAAATTTCAGCACTCAACAATGAGTGCTGTCATTGTTTCCATAAGCATCTTGTGGATCTCCTCCACGCGTGGCTCTAAATGTTTTCTGTAGGTTAAAAACAAAGCAGGGCCCAGACGTGCCTATAGGGCTGGAATTTACGTCTCTTACACTTTCTACTATTGCATGAGTCACTAAAATGTCAGAGAATGTGGAATCTAGAAAGGATCCTAGAAAGTTGACAGAAGGGAGCATCTGTCGAACATGCAGTCAGATAAGCATTCACATTGCCTCAAATCACTCCAAATATTTGCCCAAATATTTAATCATCAAAAAATAAAAGAGTTCTAGAGTTGGTGGGGAAATGACTGTTGTGTGGGTTTGTTTTGTTTTGTGCCACATCTGCATTCATTCATCTCTAGGCAGAAAAGGTGAGATGGGCACTAAAGGAGACCCAGGCATTCCAGGCTTGGGAAGACCAGGATTTCCTGGAGAACCTGGGCCACCGGGACCGCCAGGTCCCAGAGGTGCGATGGGGCCACTTGGTCAGAAAGGACATCCAGGAAGTCCAGGATTTATGGGGTTTCCAGGTACTCTTTTGTGTGTGTGCTTTTCTTTTTTTTCCCTTCTAACCTCCCTCCTCCACCCTCTTTCTCTAATTTCTTCCAGATTTTCTTTTATGATAGTTTAATTAACTGGACACAGACATAGGCTTTCAGCTCCTTGCTTCAATCTATTTGGCATCAGATTTTCCTTCTGGATTTTTTGTAAAGGGTCTGGGTGCAGGTAAATGGTGATGGTGGGATGATCACATTTCAGTTGCTCAGGATATGACAATTTTTGCTGCATATTCCTTTTTAGATATTAGCACTCAAATATATTTGTTAGTATCTTGCAATTATATGTTTTACATTATTCTTCATTTTTTACATTTTTTCATTTCACTTTTAATCCCATGAATTTCTCACCACCACTTCCCCCCATGCCACCACCATCGTCCCGTGTGCTCTTCCCACCTCAGTTTTGGTCTTGTTCCCCACTCCTCTCCTGTAGAATGTCTCTAGTTTATAGCTGTTAGTTGATGTTCTTTTCTATTTTATTAAAATTACTATATCTATATCTATAGATAGATAGATAGATAGATAGATAGATTCCTGATACCTTACATTCTTGCTATGAGTGAAACCATCTGGTATTTTTCTTTTTCTTTCTGGCTCATTTCCCTAAGAAAGATCCCTTCCAGCTCCATACAGGTTGCCACAAATGACATGAGTTTATCTTTTTTGGTTGCTGAGTAATATCCCATTGTGTATATATACCACATCTTCTTGATCCAATCATCAGTTTTTGGACATTTGGGTTGATACCACATCTTCCCTGTTGTAAATAGAGCAACAATAAACAGCAGGGTTCAGGTGTCCTTTTGAATTATTGTTTTTGTATCCTTGGTTATAGACCTAGGAGTGGAATTGTTGGATCATATGGAAACTCCATTTTTAGCTCCTCTTGCATTTTCTAGAAGAGTTTGTATTACAGGGCACCCCAATGTGAATTGGGGTGCCTGTCTGTGGGTCTTCACCCGTGCGCTTACGATTCAATCGTATTATGGACACACTTCAAAAGGTTAAATAATGGATTTATTTATAAGGAGAAAGGTAAAGGGATAACCCAGGGGAAGAGGGAGAGACACACAGGGTAACTAGGATGTCCTACCAGTTCTGCTGACGTGGACTCCACCGGCCGCTGAAAACCGATGGAGCGCCAAAACGATCAGCTGCGAACCACCAGGCCAAGAGCCCCCCAGAGCCCACATGTCCGGTTTTATCCCAACCTGGCTGCTCAGCTCCGCCCTCACGTCCCTGCGTGCTTCTTCTTGGTACTGATGGGATTTGGAGTTCCAGCATGGAGTGGGGGCGGAGTCCGTGAAACCTGTACCTGTTACATTTGGAAAGAGTTAATATTCTTTAAATCTTTGGTAGAATTCACCACTGAATTTATCTGAAGCTAGATTTTTCTTGGTTGGGATTTTTAAATTACTAGTTCTGTTACTTCCCTTGCAGATAGTTCTATTCAGATCTTCTATATCTTCTTGAGTCAGTTCTAGTAATCTGTGCTCCCTAGAGATTTGTCCAGATTGCCTAATTTGCTGATATAGAGTTGTTTATCACGTTCTCTTACAATACTTTTTTTGTTGTTGGCATCACTCTTTTATAGTTTGTGTATTCATAGGGAATATTCTGAGTGTCTTCATGGCATAAAGACACTGATTTTTTTCCTCCAAAGAAAGGCCTAGAATAATGCCTTAAATGGGTCAGTGAAGCTTTCATTAGATTGCCACTTGGATTTCATGTGCCAGCACTATTTCAAGCCCTAGAGACACATCAGTGGGCAGATGCCACCTCCCATCGTAGGGAGAAAAAGAGGACACAACATTTACAAATTCATTTCAAATGAAGTTTAGCCAGAGACAAGTATGATGAAAAAAGTAAGATAAGGGAATAGAACAGAAAGTCCTGGGTTGCGGGGAAGGAGAAATATCCCAAAACTTCAATGTGATTTCCTGCCAGTAATTTCCTCCTCATACATGATACAAAAATGACCTTGTGTTGACTTGTCCGCTAAGCAAATATGGTTGTTTTCCTGTTTACAGAAACCACTCCTTCAACACCACTCTCTAAGTATAGTTCATTTTAGTTGATGGAGTATTTTACTTTTCTCATCCTGCATGTGTTCCCATAGGCGAAAAAGGAATGGTTGGCTTGATGGGTTTTCCTGGAAACATCGGCCCTCCGGGGCTTCCTGGGCAACCAGGTGTCCCTGGGCAAAAGGGTAAGTGATGGCTTCTTTCTAGCGTTTAGGAAGCAAGAGCAAATGTTCACTTCCATAGCAGCAAAATAAGTGACATCTTATTCTTAGAGTGCAAATGGTTCTGAGAGAAGATTTCACTGTTTTCTATGTCCTTTTTCACATCTGAATAGAATCCTGTTTTCTCTCTGTAAGTTCATACCTCTCTCCTCATGGAGCAGCCTAAATAAGGAAACCATCAAGTTTTGTGCTCTGTTAGCCTTTCGGTTGTTTGTTTTATTTGCTGTGTTCTATTTTAGGGTTAGCATTGTTGACTGTCAAATGCTTATGAATGACTTAAGGAATTTAAAACATCCTGTGGCTGTTCCTCCCTTTTAGGTGACCTTGGAATGCCAGGAGCAAAGGGCGAGAAAGGACTTAAAGGATTTCCAGGCGAAAGGGGAGAAAAAGGAGTCACTGGCCCTTCTCAAATGGCCTACTTAGTGGGGGACAAAGGAGAACCAGGCCTCAAAGGTACAGACTTCCTTGAGGAACCAGAGTCTGACCTGGTTCTGTGACTGCGAAGTTTCCCAGGCAAACCCCTAGAGTTGACTGAGGAGGGCCCTGAGCAACAGGGTTTAACCCCCTGCCATCACAGCCAGCTGATGGCCAAACCCTGGACTCACATTGGGTCTTGCACAATAAGAAGTTGTCTCCTTAATGCATGATTATTTTTTGCTAAATTAAGCAGGTGACTTTGGGTCTCGTGTTTAAATCATCCCTGGTTTATTTTTAATTATAAGCCTCCAGCACCCCCCCTTTTGACAAGTGAACATGAACCACCTAGAAAAGTCCATAGAGAAAGATGCCAAAACAGAAAATTCCTCCCCAAAGTCCTCTTTTTCTGCCAGATACCAGGATGAATTTCTCTGGTTGCCTCTAAAAACTACTCATACACAGCATCCTGTAGAGAATGCTTACTAAATGATTACTAGATGAAAAGTATGTTTCAATTAAAAATGAATGCCCTCGAAATGTTGTTCATTGTTAGTTGTAGCCATTAAGCTGAATTACAGCAAATTATTTGAACAGGTTCTATAACAATTTATCTTTTATGATGAATATAACCAATGGGAAATCAGATTTTGAGAAAGCCCGGCTGTGATCTCGTTGACCAAACTTGAGACTAAAATTAACTTTAGAGAAATAGAGAACTGCTGTGTAAAATGAGAAGCAACTGGGTGGTAATAGTTTACATGGCTGTCCACTGAGTTGAACACTGAAAACCGGGGGAAAGGAATATTCTATCTCTAGGGTGCAGAACAACACCTGCTAACTAGATACTCAACCCTCAGCAGAGTGGATGAATACATCTTTGAGCAGGGAGCAGCCACCGAGGTGAATCTACTTGAGACAGGCACAAATTCAGGACATGGACAGATGGTCTGATGCTCCCAGGAGAAAGGGGGAGGAGTTTATTATTTACTTCGCAGTAAATTGCAATAGAGGTTGCTGAATATTTTTGAGCAGGAGAATGATGCCATCAAAGCATTTGGCAGGGAAGGGGTGTGGGGTGGAGCTATGGGAAGGTCATGGATTTTCCAGTTTGCAGAACTGGACTCAAATCCCAGCATTACCCTGGATGGATGGTCTGGGTTCAGATTTGCCCACTGACCTCCCAGAATCTGAGTTTTCTCATCTCTACCTCCATCTGGAAAGGTCCACAGATAGAATAAGGGGCCCTGAAGATTAAATAAGATAAATAACAGAAACCAGTGTCTGATGCCCTTGTTACTTAGTAAGTGATATTGGAAACAAATTAATGGAATCTTCTAAATAAAAACAATGTAGCGGTAATCCTCTGACATCGGTAAAAATTCCCAAAAAAAGACACTGTTTAGACCACTAATTCTTAATATATTTGTTTAAAGCATTAATACAATGACAACTGCTTCTGTGCTTTGAGACTCACACTAAGCACTATGCTGAAATTTGACTATATCAACTTATCAATCCTCTTCTTGGAAAGATGTAAGCCTATGTCTGCCCATACACTTAACTAATATGCTATGCTGTATTATAATTATGTCCCATCTACTTTAATCAAAAGTGATTAACCCTGATAAAATTCTAACCTGTATTTTAATGCGTGGTTTTGACTCAGGATTGGCAGGAAAGCCGGGTGAGAAGGGAAACAGAGGCCTCCCAGGGCCACCAGGCTTTCAAGGCCCCAGAGGTTTCCCAGGACCACCAGGACCACCAGGTATAGATGATTATTTAACAGAAACATCAGGTTTTAAGAGTTCCTAGATCTAGCTTCTAGACTTCAGGGACTGAAAATTTCAAAAAGAAATTTGCTGCTAAATTAAACCAAAATGAAAGTGTGTGTAGTCAGCCTGTGCTAATGAAAAAACAATAACATAAAGTTCCACTTTTGTGATGCTATTTTATAGGTATTATAAGCTGCCATTTGTCACAGTGTTATATAACACCACAGACAAAAATGAAATAATGCTTTACAAGTTTTCAGATTTGCTTCTTTGACAACAAATTACAGAGTAATTTTTTTAAACAAAGCAGCCCCCTGTGACCACATCAGTGATAAAACATACTGCAGGGCCATCAAATTTCATTATTACATTTGAAAATCTACTGCCATCTGGTTGCAGGAGCCCCCTCTTTCCTGCTGATGTTGGTCCAAGCCTAACTTTGATGTTTGAAATCCGTGTCTGCTGATAGGAATCTAATTTTATATTCCGGGGGTCCCCAACCCCTTCTTATATGAAGGTAGACGAGCACCTGAAATAGTACCTAAGCCAGCTGCTCTGGCTGCTCTGGAGTCATGTGTTTGTGTGAGCACAGTTATTATGGAGAGCTTCCCTATGTCCAGGGGCCATGTATGCATGTGATTATTTACTTGCTCTCAAGGCCCTAAAGGAGACCCAGGCAGCGACGGGTACCCAGGATATCCAGGACCACCGGGTATGCCAGGAAGCATGGGGAGCATGGGACTGCCAGGTAAGGCACCACTAGATCCCGCAAGCTCATGGTGGCTCCCGGTTCTAGATTTTCTGTGTTGCTTGTTGTTTTGGTTTTCCACTTAGTAGAGAGACATACAAAGACTATATTTACTTTTAGCCAAATGTACTCTTTGCAACCAGAGCTTGAATATGAACAGGTAAACTTTTAAAAGTGTGAAAATCAGCTCTTATAGCCATTTGATGCCTTAGTGATTCTGAGACGCCCACTTCTTGGGAGGCAGGTGGCTGGTACAGAGATTAATCTGAGCATGTCAAGTTCCTTGTGTTTACCACTTTGCCTGGTTTCTTTCCTAATTTCAGGTTCTAAAGGAATGAAAGGAACCCTGGGGCTCCCAGGTCACAATGGAAGACCAGGCCTGCCTGGTGCTCCTGGTCCCCAAGGAGATAAGGGAGAGCCAGGTTATCCTGAAGGTGTAAGGCCAGGACTGCCTGGACCAAAGGTACACAGGTCATACAAGCATTTATATTTTGGTGGCAAAGTGAGTCCTTTTAAATATCAAGTTTGCAGATTCAATGTGGGCAGAGAACATTGATAATATGGCCATATTTTTAGGCAATTATTTGGGTTTATTTTTAGTCTATCTCCATAACTGAGGATATTTATCACATAGCTGTCAATTCTTGAGTTTATTATATCTAGATGAAACCCCCCAAAAATTTCTCACAACTGATCCTGCAGTTTGTGTGCTACCAGAAAGAGGCAGAGATGCTGGCCCACAGTATCTGACAAGAAAGTGTATATTTCCCCTGTGATATGAAGTAGCCAGTCTCTACATGGACTCATCTCACACAGACTTATACATTTCCAAACCTTGTCATCATAAACAGTTCTTCAAATACAATAGATGTAAGGTAAAGTACTTTAGTGCATTATCAAAAACCAAGACCATCCTAAATATACTAAATATCCATCTAGTTATACTAGAAATTTCAGTAATTTCCTTCCATTAAACAGAAGAACTTCATCTTGTCACAATGTCTTCAGTACTTCATAGACTGGAAGTTGGATGTCAAACTCCTTGCTAGCATGTTGTACCAGGAACAGCCAGTTTGGTTTTTTTCCTCAACCTTTCTGTGTGGAGCAGTTACATTAAGATCCATAACTAGACAACTGGACACTGATTAGTAGAAATGTCCATAAATAGGGGTTTAACATAAGATCCTGTGTATCCTTCAAGACTTCTGAGAAGCCTACTTACCTGCTGCATTTAAATGAAAATTATTTTAAGGAGCAATGCAAATTTTTTAAAAGTGGGTGTTTTATTTTTTCTCATCATACTTTCAATAGTATTTGACTCCAAAAAATACAGAAATTGTTATTTAGAGAACCTTCTTCAATTCTCTTTTGAGCCAAAATATTACCACTTTTCTGAAAGATTTCCACCAATCATGTTGTCCTGCAGTAATAGCTTTAAAATACAAAAGAAAAAAATTTAGAAGCCAGAATAGTAACTGTTTACTACTTGGGGCACAAGCTAATTTCCTTTCCCCTTCATTTTTAGACTAGGTCCTCAGAAAACTAGAGAGAGATTCTTTCCATATTTTCTCAGTGAGGAGTTAAATTTGACTTAACTCACATTCTAATTATTAGTAATTTCTTTTAGATTTGGAATATTCCTAGGCAACCACAGAAGAAAATTCTAGAACTGCACATTGAACACAAAATCAACTGATTTGACCTTGCTGGCAATTCATAATAACAGGGGAGAATATTTTATTCAGCTCCCATGGGGATTTTGTTCATCATCCCAATTGAAATTATGCCTTTGTGTGATGATTTAATATCCACCTCCCCAGGGGTCTCCAAGGCTTCTGAAGGTAGGGGCTGTACAGACCCCATGTCTCTGAGGTTGCTGTTATGCTCCTGGTGACAGCCAGTGCACAGGTGTCTGTAGCCACAGAAGCGTCAGTTAACAAGACTCTGCAGTTGGCGTCATATCCTGCTGGTGCTGTCCTGAATTGGTTCAGTTTCTTTTTAAGGGAGCAGCATTCCGTCCCTCACACCTAGCACATGCAGCAGACACAGTTGCCAGAGAAATAAGATGATTAATAAACTAGTAAATAAACACAGTCCACACTTAAGTTCTAATCACTACCCTGCTTTATGAGAGCCTTAAACATATTTGAATTTAAGGGAGATCCAGGATTTCCAGGTGAAACAGGAAAGAAAGGAGAAAGAGGATTTCCTGGCGCACCTGGCCCTTTGGGGCCAGCTGGACCTGATGGTGCACCTGGAAGTCCCGGAAGACCTGGTCAGCCAGGTGAGTCTCCCCTCAAGATAACATTGAAGCTACTTTGCAAAGACTGAAAGATTCAGTGGATTTGCCGTTCACTCCCAACCAAACAAACAAATCAGATACAGAGTGACCCATGTGTTTGGTGTACACACACCTTCATGGCATCTGTGCTCTGCTTCCCGAAGAACCCGCAGCCAAAAAAGCCTTAATTAAGGTGACCAGCGGCAAGAGAGCTTCCTGTGAGCACTGTGGGATGAAAGAACTGACGGTTCCAGTCGCTGTAATCGTTTATCTTTTGGTTTCTTTGTCCCTTGCCTGCTCTCGCTCACAGGAATGCCAGGTCCTGATGGTGAGCAGGGATTCAAAGGAATCAGAGGCTTCCCTGGCTTTCCTGGCTTCAAAGGCTTTCCAGGTTCCTTTTTTAAAATCTCTTTTTCTTTCATGAGAGAGGCACATTTTCTCTTGGGGCTGGGATCTCTGTACACCTCTGTCTCTGATTTGCGACTGCTCTTTAAGGCAGCTCTCAAGTACTCAGTCTTCAGATCAAAATGCAAAAAATGAGTGTGGCATTCATACCTGCCTCACCCCTCACACAAGTGCCGGTGGGCACATCCCCAAGTGACAACCTTTTTTGGTAATAGTGATCTGTTTGCATGCTTACTATGAACTTCTCTTCACGTAAGAACGAGCACTTTTCCAGAACCCCATGTACCTGGTGTTTACATCAGGCATAGGTAGAAAGTAAATCCTCCCTTAGAATGGCATGTATTTTTCAGGTCCTCCGGGATTCCCAGGAGACCCTGGACCAATGGGCCCAAGAGGTGACCAAGGACGTGATGGAATTCCTGGCCCAGCAGGAGAGAAGGGAGAACCAGGTACACCTTGCTTATAACCTTAGACTTACTCATTTTATTTTGTACAGAATAATTAGTGAAATGGTAACTCTTCAGTGCTTTGGAGACTCTTCTCTGGTAAACTGTTGATTTTTTTTAATTATTAAATTTATTTTTTTGTACATCATTCTCCATTTTGTGCATTTTTTCATCTCAGTTGTAATCCCCATGGACTCCAATTCACCCATGTGCCATCACCATAGTCCCATGCGCTCTTCCCATCCCAGTTTTGACCCTGTTCCCTTCTCCACCCCTGTAAAATGTCTCTGGTTTATAGTTGTTCATTGTTTTTCATTTTTACTTTATTACAATTGCTTTTTTCCCCCTTATGCTCCTGCTATAAGTGAAACCATCTGGTATTTTTCTTTTTATTTCTGGCTTACTTTGCTAAGTGTGATCCCTTCCAGCTCTATCCATGTTGTTGCAAAAGGCATGCTTTTATAGTTTTTGATGGCTGTATAATATTCCATTGTGTTAATGTACTACATCTTCTTAATCCAGTCATCTATTTTTGGGCATTTGGGTGGATTCCACATTTTCCCTATTGTAAATAGAGCAGCAGTAAACATAGGTACAAGTGTCCTTTTGAATCAATGTTTTGTGTCCTTTGGGTAGATACCTAGGAGTGGGATTGCTGGGTCATATGGAAGCTCCATTTTTAGCAGTATGAGAAACCTCCAAACATCTTTCCATAGTGGTTGGACCAAGCAAACTGGTGATCTTTAACATGTTCCAAGGGTGTGGTTATTAAGCTTCTTGCTGTTGTGAAAGTAAAATTGACCAAGTCAGGTAAATCATGTACATGGGATGATATCAACCATAGATGAAGTAGTCATATGCCAAAATGCTCTCTTTCAGGACTGTCGGAGGTACTTCCAGGCCCCAAAGGGAAGACTGGTGCTCCAGGTGAGCAGTCCTTCTCCCTGAGCCCAGAGACATGAACTTTCAAGGACAGAAGCCAAATCAACGTGTCTGATATATAAAATAAGCTTGACATATTGAATTAAAGAAGTCCCAATGGCAATGTAGGATGTTTATGTTCTCAGTATTCATGTAAAAATGCTCAGTTATTAATGATGACAACGAAGTGGATGCATCAGAAAAGTGATCTGATTTGGGAATTTCCTTCTATGACAGTCAGGAAAAATAAAGACTTCCTGGGCCTGATTATTGGCATGTTTATATCACCTCATAAGAGGACAGAGGTGGAATTAATGGCTTCTCGGTGAGCATCACTTCCTGCTCTTCTGGGATGCCTATTATCATTGATTAATCCTCTTCCCACCTTGTCATCATCATAGGTCTCATGGCCAGAACCAGTCTTTTGTTGACGGTTACTCAGTAACACTCACCATGTCTCAGTCAGGGTGATTTACTGAACATTTCATTTACAGCTCACATGAGATTTTTGTTTGATAGATTACCAGCCTAGGCTTCCCATGCCAGTGTTGTAAAAGATAAGAAACTTCTCCTGAGTTTCCCATTTTGCCAGACATAGCTTATTTGCACCTTTATTGACGCTTCTAAGTCTTGGGCCCTGTGGATAGAAGTGATTTCTCAGCGATGAAGCCTGCAGCCCACAGAGGCCTCTGGCTATGATTCATCCGAGAACCAGGCTAGGCTGCTGCTGTTGGAAATACAGAAGAGCAGCAACTGCCAGAACAGGCTACAGAGCACCCAGCTCTCACCAGTCCTTTGCACGGTCTAGTTTTAGAATTATGCTCAAGAGAAATTCCTGCTCATTTTCCTGGGCTAAGCCCACAGTTTAACCATTTGGAATGAGAACACATTAGGATGTGATTGGAAATAGAATTTGACATAAGCAATCAGGCTTTAAGTAAAATGACGTCAAAATATAGCAATCAGTCTTATTATGTGAGTAGTTGATGATACATCCCAAGCCCTCTAAGGCAGCTGAATGTGGAGAAGTTATTGAGTCTTGGAGGTGTGAATCTTTTTAATGAGTTTGAATTCTCCCAAGTCCTAAAAATAATCTCATATAATTAAACAAGGAAGCATTTTTTAAAGAAGATTTATTTATTTATGCAAATAGAACCGGGGTACAGGCCAGAGGTGCAGGGGCCGTGAGAGGACTCACCAGAGACAGAGTGGGGAGCAGAACAGGCAGATCCACTGAAACTCACTGCTGAGGGGAGCAGTGGGGAGACAGGAGAGGTCTGCTGTGCCTTGTGGTTCAGCTCCCTGGTGGGGGATAGAACTCATGCTGAGATGGCCCAGGCTAGCTTTGTAGTGCCAAGTTTCAATCTCTTGTGCCAACATGGTGGGCACTAGTTTAAATAGTTTAAATTGTTTCTATCATCTGTGGCTAGCTTTAACCTGTTGTGCCACCAGGGAGAGCCAACAAGAAGAGGTGTCGAGGCTTGGAGGTGTTAGTCTTTTTAATTAGTTCGAATTCTCCTAAACCCTTAAAAAAAAAAACCATATAATTAAACAAGGAAGAATTTTCTTAAAAAAAAAAAGATTTATTTATTTATGCATACAGAACTGGGGAACAGGTGGAGGGGTGTTAGGGAAAATTACCAAACTTTTTTCTTCGCAGGACCCAAAGGGGACCCGGGAGCCCCAGGCTTGCCTGGCCTTCCAGGCAGGAAGGGGTTACCGGGAGATGTTGGGCCACAAGGACCCACAGGCATGGCAGGACTCCCTGGGGTACCCGGTGATCCTGGCATATTCATCCCTGGCCCAAAAGGAAATCCAGGTCCTCCAGGCCCAAGAGGAAACTCAGGTAGGGGCTTCTTGTAGCTAAGAGAATGAGGAGACTGTTTGACATCAAGGCTTCCATCCTCTTCTGCTGTGATCTTGCTACGCCCCGGCTTCTCTGCTCCTCCCAGTCCACTTCTTCCGCAGAGTGTTGTAAAACGTTGATGTTGAAAAACATCGTAACTATCAATTTGATGAGCCTGAAAGCGGGCCATGTATCCACTCACCATTTGACTGAGCTTGCTCTGTCTGGGCAGAGTCCGTCAGGAAGGCACAGCTGCTAGCAACCTGAGCCAGACGCCTGACGGGCTTGATCTCAGCCATCTTTGCCAGAGTCCATTCCGCTCCATGGGGGAGGGGCTGTCTGGGTGATGACAAGGCCCGCGGTTTGCTTCAGGTTCAGAAGCCCCTCATGGAACCTGCCAAGTTCTGTGACTGGCAAGACTGAGGGATTTTTGTGAATTTAGGTGAACCTGGTCCCCCCGGTCCTCCAGGAAGTCACGTAAAAGGCATAAAAGGAGAAAAAGGGTTTATGGGCCCGCCTGGACCCAGAGGTCCTCCTGGAGCCATAGGAGAAATTGGGCCTTTTGGCCCTCCGGTAAGTGGGGGAAATTACTTTGACTTCTTATGTTCCTCTAAATCCATTGACTGGACCAGATATACTCAGAAGCAAGAAAAAAAAATCCCATTTGTGATGTTGCTGTGCCACTCAGTATGGGGAGACAGGAAGGCGCAGGGAATCCAGGATCTCACTGATTGGGCTTCTAGGAGGCCTCTCCTACTAGTACCTTCTAGTGATCTATGCTTGACCACTCTCTACAGCACCCCTGACCCTTACTTGTTTAGAATGGACAGTTCTGGTGATGGAATCCTCACATCTAGAATTTGGGGATAAGCCTAGGTGTCAATGTCATTTTTCTCCATTAATAAGCTTTTGAAGTTTCCTGTGCTGTCCTGTTATTTATTTTCTCTCCATAACATACATTCCAGTGTTTGCCAACCACTGCCATTGTCTTCTGAGTGTTTTCACCCAGATGAACACCTGGATCTTCCCAATCCAGTTTAACCTCTCTTCAGCCCGCCTCTACCCCCAAATAGACCCAGATTTATCAGCGTCTCCCTTAAAAGTGTATCCTGTGGGACAAACTCCTTCCAGGAGTAAGAAGTGGCTGGAGGAGGGAAATGTCTCCCTGTCCTGAGTATCACCTGTTTATCCTTCGACCTAAAACTCTTGGGCAGCCACATCCTCACACTGTCAGCTTATGGTCAAAAACATCCACCTGCCTCTTCCTCATAAGCTGCTACTAGTTGTTCTCCGTGACCTCTTGCCGCCCCTGCTGCTGCTGCTGCTGCCTTGGTGCGGACTGTTCCATTTATCTTTCTTAAATGCCATCTTGTTCACTGGGCCAGGCACCGGCCTATTAAGAACTCTCCATTCCTAATCTCTCATGCAATATCTTGGCCACCTTCTCTACCTCCTTCTGACCAGCACATTGGAAAAGTCTGACTCTTTTGCTTCCATCAAGCTCCAGGAGACTGATGAGGAAATTGATTATGTCATAGATGTTCATGTTTTCCTCAGTGAGTGGTAATGAGAGAGACTTTGGCATTGCTCTCTATCACTTTAAATGCCCTTGATACTTGGTTTCCACCGTCAACCTTTTTAACTTTAATTTTTTGAAGAATAGGAGATGTAACCATTTCCAGTCTTAGGCATCTCTCCTGTCCTCTGTTCTTTGAAAGTTGCCAACTTAAAATGGGTCATTCTGTTCCCTTTTTTAAATTATAGGGAGCACCAGGTAGCCCAGGAATGCCCGGACTCAGGGGTGATCCTGGATACTACGGATTTCCAGGCATGGAAGGTACAGATGTTTGCACTGCTTTTTGGATACAAATGCAATGGCCGTGGTTCCTATTTCAAGGCATATAAGTGTTCAGTGGACTCCCAGAGTCACCAAAGGCAATTTGGGTTGGTCCAGGAGGACCTCAGTCTGGGAGAAGAAGGAAGACCCACTAGCACCAGATCCTGTGGGCCTTCAGGGTAGAAACTACCGAAAAACTAAAACCAGTTACCTTTGAGAGTAGTGGCCTGCACTGGGTTTGAGGATGGTGGGTGGCATCAGTAGTGATAGGATTGTTTTGAATTGTTTGTTTTACCTTGTTCATGTGTTATAACTTTAAAAGGCAGGGGGGAAATTGCCAAACTATTTGTAGAGAAAAGTAAATAAATTCTGATAGGTAGATTTAAGCACTTGCTTTCTAGGGAACATGTAATATATTTTTAGATTTCTAACCAGATCAATTACTATAATTTGGGGGCTTTTAGGTCTAAAATAGTCACACACATTTAAACTTCAGGTCGCAGCAAAGAACTTTCACCTGAAATCAAATGGTTATGTAAGGAAAGTGTCACCTCCCAGTTCACCCCCTAGTCCAACAACAATAACAGATGGATGTTCTGGCCATATTTGCCTTTCCGTTATTTCCTCGAAACCTGCAAGAACCAAGGTCCCTATCCTCTTCCCCAGTAAAGCCATTTAAGTGTATATTAAGCAACTACAGAGTACTAAAAACAAGTTTTGACCAAAACCAATAAAAACCAAATTCTCGAATCTTCCATAGGGTCCTATGAATTTTGAAGGAGTTTCAGATGATCTCAGCTGGTTAAATAGTATCACTTTTGTACTGCTCAGAACTGCTATCAGAGACTACAAAGATACAAAATAAAAGTGTAGCAAAGTGAGCAAAGCCATAATTTCACTAAGGAAAACTTTTCCAGGACCTAGGAAAAACTCAACAAGGTCCTAGTTCAACTAATCTCCAAGAAGCAAAGTAGGGAAAGAGCGCCTGGGAGGAGCGTACTACACTTTGCTGGGGAGTACTGGCAGGCAGCCTGGGGGACACGCAGGCACCTCAGCAAAGGAATAGCTACGATTTGAAAAACAACAGACAAAAGAAACCCACTAAAGAAAGGGGCATTCTCTTGAAGCACCTATGGGTGTTAAGAGAGGAGACTCACAAAACCAGTTATCTTGAACTATGTTCCATGAAGCACATTTAATGACCCTCTTACTTTCAGGGTAAAACCATCAGCGGGCAATACTGATGTGTTTGCACTTCCCTATTTGAAAAGTTTTAATCACCAAGGAGAAAATTATGTAACCTTCTTCTGGTATATTCAAGTAAATATTAACATCTCTCTCAACTTCTGATACCAAGTATTTAAGTTGTAGTTTATCAGTTAACTTTTTACTGTAATTGTTTTATTCTGTGTTTCTAGTAAAATTTTGATAGGAAGTTCTTTCTAATGTTAAATCCATGTTATTTCAAGATTCTTTATAAGAGAATAGTTCTCCAAATTAGTAGTTCTTGACAACTAGTTTTGGTCCAAGGCTATAGATGTGGGAGTGATACCTTCCCACCCTGTTAGTTTATAGCAAGGCAGATAGTCTACTTGGCTGCTAGTAAAACAAGAGTAATAAGCTGAGTAAGTAGATAACTAGTAGGTAACTATGAAAATCAGGCAATGTAATTCCCCAGGAAGTGCTAAAGTGGGTTGAATGCCATTTTTTAATCTTAAATATTAAATTGAATTCATTTCTGTGTTTAAAAATTGAACTCTTAGAAACTCTTCCCCTTCAAAGCTAAGCTACAAATTCCTTAGTATCTAATTATAAATTATATTTCTTCATAGTCATTACACATGACTGACTAGGCCCAAGCAAAGTGGCAAGCCTCTCGTGGAGGTGATGGAGTTACAGCCATTGTCACCGAGCTCAGAACCCCAAGTCACAGCCTGCACATCTGTCCTTAGAATTGCTCGTCAACCTGAAAGCCAAGCAAACTCAGTGTTCTAAGTAGAGTCACGTTGCCTTTTTTATTCCCCCCCCCCCGAAGGAGAGAAGGGTAATCCAGGATTTCTGGGACCAATGGGACCTCCAGGGAGAATTGGGCCAAAAGGACCACCAGGTAAATGTCATTTGCTTGGTATTGGCGGACTTGAAGCAAGGTAATTCATCAATGAGTTCTCCCTCCTCTTCTGTCCATATCAACAGGTGCACGTGGAGACCCTGGCACAGTGAAGATCATCTCCCTTCCAGGAAGCCCAGGGCCACCTGGTCCACCTGGACCCCCAGGGATGCAAGGAGAACCTGGACCCCCGGGACCACCAGGAAGGCAAGGTGTGGGACTAGCAGCAAAGGCTGAATTGAGAGGAAGTGGCTGAACCAAAATATGAGTGAAATACTTTAGAAGCCAGCAATACAACTTCACAGATAATGTTAAGCACACAGTGCTTTTTAGGAGTAAACTTGTTTTACTCTTGAAACTCTTGGAATAATAGACCTTTGGGCTCTGTTGAATTTATGGAAAATCAGGGTGCAAATTACAAACTTGAGCAAATATATTTTAGAACGTTTGTATTTCTTTTTATTAATGTGTCTTCTCTGAACAACTGTCAGTCTAAGAGCACTGACCTTTTTAAATGTAAAAAGCATTGAATAAACCTGAGTTTAGGTTGTTCTGCCTCTGCATAGCGCTCGAGAATGTAACAAAATGCAAATGTACAGTTAATGTTATGAAATCTTTTCAAAACATTGGTGAGTAGCCATGTTTTATTCAGTGTAGAAATTGAAATAACCCTTTAATATAGGTTTAGTATATTGCATAGACTTCTGAATGGAATGCTATGCCCTAAGTTTGCTGGAGTTGCCTGGGAGAGAAGACATAAGCAATATGCCTTCTTGCTTGGCTCAGTACAAAGGCGTAGCAAATTCTGAAACAAAATAAACCAAAATGGCAGCACAATTTTAAAGTGCTGTGTGTGTCAGATATGCCTGGTTTATTCTTGAGGGTCTTTTTTATGCCCTGGGCAAGTTCGTGGAACAAGATTGATAAACAGCTGTCCCATGTGCACAGGGTAAGAGTCTGCTCAGTTCACAGGGCTTTTGCTACTTGAACTGGGATGTGCAGATAACCAGGAATGGTTAGTCACCCTACTCTTTAGGCTAAGTTAGCCACTAATACAACATTGGGTTTTTCTCTAGGACCCTGTGGGCCAAGAGGTGAACCAGGCAGGGATGGAAGGCCAGGAACTCCTGGCCCAGTTGGAGAAAAGGGCTTCAAAGGCTATAAAGGAGCAAAAGGTAAGTACAACATGCTTGTATCTTTCATGGAAAGGGCTGTTTTGACAAGCAGACCTGTTTTATTTGAGTGTGTGACCACACTCGTAATCGGCAGCCTTCAGTTCCCGTTGTTCAGATCAGTGTGGAAGCAGAATGTTCATTTGGAAGACGATTTAAAACTCATCAAGAATTATAGGAATACACTATTCTTTCTAGCACTTTATTGAGTAGCTGTACTCCAAATTTTTAGCCTGTGGACAAATAGAACTACTGAAACATGAATTCCACATTCGGAAAAGTCAATAGTCTTTAATAATTTATAAGAGTACTTAGCTAATGACATTTCCCTAGAGGAGTGACAGAAAAGCATGTTGTTAGAAAAACATTAACTTGATATGAATAGAAGAGAAATATAATATTCTTTTTTAGGAAAGCTTCCTTTTTACTATGCCATTCTTGAATGCAACGCAGCAATTCACATGTATTCTGAAAAAGAGCCACTGAAGTATTTTAGTCTGAACAAAAACTGTGTCAATTTGCTACACATCAATAAAAATCACCTTCTAGAAAAGTTCTAGATGTCCACATCTTATTTTCCTAGAATTGTTGATTTTGTTTAAAGTATGGGAAAAATGGTAAACATGACTTTTATGGGAAAATGCCTAGAACTATAATAAAACTGTTAAGATTAAAGTTTGAAATATTTAAAAATTCAAATAGAAATGTGAGTAATAAAATATTAATTACATAGTCACTCATGACTTCATATAGCCATGTGTGCATTTTAAAGCACTATTAATCTTCTGACTTTCCTTACAGTGGGCCTTTCAGTGTGTCAAAAATAAAACTCTGATCAATAATTCTATTAATTTAAAGACTTTACTGACCACGTCTGGGTCTCAGAGCAGGATCACAGAAAGGCTAAGAGCACTGCCAGAATGCAAATTGTGTTAAGACTTAAGCAAGTGGACAGTCCCAGCAGTGGAAGGCACAGGGGAGGTGAAGGTATAAAAATGTAAGAATGGCCCTCCCTGGGGACGCAGCGGGTTAAGGCACTGCACTAAGAAGCTTAGGCGTGAGTTCGATCCCCTCCTGCCCCGGAGGTGACCACATGGCATAGCAGACTTCTCCTGACCCACCCACTGCTCCCCTCAGCAGTGTACTTTGTCAATCTGCCTGTTCTGCTCCCCATTCTGTCTCTGGTGAAGCCTCTCACCCTCCGCATCTCTGGCCTGTACCCCAGTTCTGTATGAATAAATAAATAAATCTTTAAAAAAAAGATGTAAGAATGACCAAGGGGCCTAAGAGTTAAATAGTACTGGTAGAGATGGAGCTCTTTGGTCTCTTTCTTGAAGTGCTTACTTGCATAGGTTCCTCTGGTTCCTGTCCAGCTCAGCTCATCATTCCACATTCTGTGCAGAGACCTGGAGGCATCTTTTGCATGGAGTGAAATGCAGCCAAGTAGTTGTTAGGAAAAGTGAACAATATGTATCTTCCTTATCTGATATATTAAATATGGCAAGTTTGAGCTTTCTCAAAAGATGAGTCTGAAAATATTGCATTTGGCCTATGTTTAATTCCCCAAAATGAGCCAAGTCTGTGGAGAAGACAGGAATGGGTAAAATAGGGGCTTTAGCAGGTCCCAGTGAAAAGTCCTGACTTCTGAATTGGGACTCACCTAGGGCGCAGCCTGGCTCTGGGGCACGTTGTTTACAAACGACACCTGCACACCCAGCGCCCATCATCCTCCGCACCCTAACGCACCACCAACAGTGGGCTAGGCAAGTAGGGTACAGTACAGTGTCAGTGGAAATGTGCCAGGGCCAGGAAGGTGGCAGTGCCAGAATCTCTAATAATTGCTGCTGGAGGACGAACACGAGAGGGCAAGGCACAGGCCCAGGGAAAGGCAGCTCACTGGTGCTCGGTCAGAAGGTGCCAGGTGTGGACTAGCCTGCTCCACGTGCAGCGGAAAAGCATGGTGTAAAAACACTTACTTGGGTTCCAACTCATATAAGTAAAAGACGTGCACTTAATACAACGAACAAAAAAAGAATAGAAGTCCTTGATGATCTCATTTGTCGTACTAACCCGAAATTTTGTTCAAGTTTGCACCTTTGGAAAGTACTATCCAATGACAGTTGTTGAGTTTATCAATAGCAGAAGTGGTTTTTGATTTATCTCCTTGAATAGACTTCCAGACTGTAGCTATGTGACTTCTCGGTTTCCCACAGTGTAGGGGCTGCATTCATTTAACCGTAAAGGCTGGACATCCATAAAGATACACAGCACAGGGCCACAAACACCTGCTCACCTCACACACACACACGCACCTCAGAAGTGTCGTAAGATAAACCAGTCAGCATTTCACAGCATTTAGCTGTGTTCTAAGCTCCTGTCGTTAGGACATCTTTCTATATTAGGTGTGAGCAGATACAGACAAACTTTTCTTTTTAAAGATTTATTTATTTATGCATACAGAACTGGGGTATAGGCCAGAGGCTTAGGGGCGGTGAGAGGCTTCACCAGAAACAGAGTTGGGAGCAGAACAGGCAGATCGACAAAGTACACTGCTGAGGGGAGCAGCCGGCGGGCCAGGAGAGGTCTGCCACACCATGTGGTCACCTCCTGGGCAGGCGGGGAACGAACTCATGCAGAAGTGGCTTTAGCTTCTTAGTGCTGTGCTTTAACCCGCTGCGCCACCAGGGAGGGTCCCCAGACAAACTTTTAAATTAGTATTTTGGGAAAACAAGTTGGCGCTTTCTTTGTGTTGCCCGTGTGTAATGTGTTTCTCAAAGGACCACCTGGAAGGGACGGACCACCAGGAATGAAGGGGATACCTGGAGAACCAGGACCACCTGCCCCCGTGGAGGGAGTGAGGGGCTTCCTCTTCACGCGGCACAGCCAGACCAGAGCGACCCCCCTGTGTCCAGAGGGTACAGAGCCGCTCTACAGTGGCTTTTCTCTGCTTTTCGTACAAGGAAATGAACAAGCACTTGGCCAAGACCTGGGTAATGTCCCAATTTCTAATCACTTTGCTTCACCTCTCCAGGTTATAAATGTGTAGAACATGAGGTACTTGCCTCTGAAGTTAGGTGTAAACGAACTCCCAGTATCTTGAAGCAGTTTTCAAAGAGAAAAAGGAAAGCACTGGCTTCGTGTCTAATTTTCACTGTGAAACACAAGGCTGTGGCTTGTCCTGTTTAATAATGCAGAGTAATTTTCACATAAACCACCATCTGTTCTTTAACCATAAAGTAACATCTGTCTAACACTTTGGCTATTACCTACAGATGAAGAACTTGGAATACTTTGAAGTAGAGACATGTTTACAACATGTCTACTCTCCTTAAGTTCTAGATGGATTAGAAAGGACCACAGCCCATGTTAAGGGTGGGAGAAGGAGGATTTGTTTGTTGAATGTTGACTTCCACTGTTGCTGAAACTTTTCAGCAACATCTCTTGCAATACTTCTTTTATTATCATTCTCCTGTTTGTGTCCATTTGTGTTTGAATTTGGCTCTATGTTGTGACACACTCAGGATAATTTTCACTGACTGAAAGTGACTCGGGACCTGATGTTTTATTAGGAACTCTAGGCAGCTGTTTGCAGCGATTTACTACGATGCCATTCTTATTCTGTGACCCCAATGATGTATGTAATTTCGCATCGCGAAACGATTATTCATACTGGCTGTCAACACCAGCTTTGATGCCAGTGGACATGGCTCCAATTACTGGCAGGGCCCTGGAGCCTTATATTAGCAGGTAAACATCTCATCCCTGAGTTTCATGATGGGATCAGGTAACTCCCTTCCCTGGTAATGAAATGTGCCTGTTTCAGATGCACCGTCTGTGAAGGGCCTGCGGCGGCCATTGCCATCCATAGCCAGACCACTGACATCCCCACATGTCCCCAGGGCTGGCTCTCTCTCTGGGAGGGATTTTCTTTCGTCATGGTAAGGAGAAAAGGACAGAAAATTCATCATAAAGATGATCTCTAGGACCTCACATTGTTTTGGGTGAAATGTGCCACCGACATATGTTTGCAATTTGGCAAATGTATATCTTTTCACTTTGTTTTGTTACTGGTAAATGATGGTGCATTTTTCAAGACATGGTTCTTAGGAGGAAATTACCAACAAGCTCTAAATAAGACCTCTAAGTGAATATTACCTCTCAATTTGTTGGTAATAAGATGCCTATTTTTTAATGTGGCAGCTTTTGAATATTAACAGCTCTGTAGTATTTATGAAAACCTTGCCAAGTAGTTTCTATCCTCTACAGTTACACAAATAAAAATGAAGTCATATCACCAAGGTCTCACAAACTATTACAGGGTTAAGTTAGGACCTCACCCCTCGTCTTTCTGCTTCACAACATTTGTTCTTTATGCTGTACCCTTCTGAAATTCATGTGAAGATGTGAACTTCGGAAGATAGTTTCATAAAGGCAAATGACGAAATGTAGAGACTGAGCAATTCTGATAGCTGCACATGTGTGGGTAGTGATGGTTGGTAGGACCAGTTATGATACGTTACGGACACATTATTCCCCCTTCCTTACTCAGAGCCATCCACCCATCCAGTCATGAACTCATCAGTCATTGAACACTTACTATGTGTCCTTAGCTCTATGCACTACGAATACCAACAGAGAACCAAGGATCCTGCTTCATGAATATGTTAATGAGGAGATACACATGGCAAGAAGACAAAAATTACAATCATATAATGCGTTCAGATGTGAGCAATATAGCAAAGGAGATAGAGGCAGAGGGGAGACTGTGACAAGGATGAGTTCCAGGAAAATCCCTCAACAACAAAGAAAATCAGACCTAGATTCTAGGCAGAAAGATTCAGGCAGAGGGAACAGCTTTTACTTTCTTTGTGATGAATTTTCCTCAACTGGGAATTCACGTGGCATGCTAGTAAATCTGAGTAAAGAAATTTAAACAGTTGAAGTCATGCCTTCTGTTTGTTTTCATTTTTTAATTGTCTTGGGTTTAAAACAAAAAGTTGTGCACTGAAAATTTGAGCCTTGTGGCCAGGACTGCCATGTGTATGTTTTTCTTGTGCTAGTTCACGAGTGCAGGGTCTGAAGGTGCAGGGCAAGCCCTGGCCTCCCCTGGATCCTGCCTGGAAGAATTCCGAGCCAGCCCCTTTATAGAATGTCATGGCCGAGGAACGTGCAACTACTATTCGAACTCCTACAGTTTCTGGTTGGCGTCATTAAACCCACAAAGAATGTTCAGGTAATTATTAAAAGTCAAGTTTAATCTGGGGGCTCAGCTGTGGGCTACTCAAAGGTTGCCTGTCTTAGATTTTCGTCACCTGTGTGTGGATTAACTCACAACGGTATACCAAGCCACGGTAATCTTGTTTAGCCTTAACAGTCCAGTTGACAAATGTTCTAGAGTTAATCCATAGCCATGGCTTTGTACTACCTGAGGAGTAAAGTTTAAGAAATGTGATTTTTATCTTCATGAAATACAAACTATTGGATGAAACCATGAAGTAAGCTGTTCATTTTCATTAACTGCATTGGAAGTGAATAATGCAACTGGCTTAAAGAGGCCAAAAAAAAAGTGATCTCTAAGCTTTTGCAAGGCCCGTATTTCTGTAGTGCTGTTAAAATGTGACTAAAAGAATAAAATGTTCACACACATACTTTTTCAGAAACATATCTCCTGCAATTAGATGAACTACAGTAATTCCTACAATTGTGAGGAAAATTCAAATATGGCAAGAGATCCCTTTCTATATACAAAATGATGTATTTTTTGGTTTTGTTTATTTCAGAAAACCTATTCCATCAACTGTGAAAGCTGGGGAATTAGAAAAGATAATAAGTCGATGCCGGGTGTGCATGAAGAGTAAATACTGAAGAAATCAAAGAAAATAGAAGAAATCAAAGAAAATAGAACTGATGTTTTTCATCCCAAATAATCAAGGAACAATGGAGAGCAAGCATTTATTAGGATATTTTTCTTTAACCAACAGTATTGCTCTATGGCAGGTTGGAACAAAGCTTCTGTTTGTTTCTCTACCCAACAGAGCATTTTTTAAGTTAGTTCATGAGCCTGATCTCCAAGCCTGTCTGTTTCAAAGTTGTGCTAGCTGGATAGCAGAGAAGGCCAACTGGGTGCTCTATTTGTATAAAGTGTGATGCTCAGGTTAAGGACTAGTCTCTGGTGCTGGTGCCCTGGGGTTCGGGGCCCCCCACTAGCCCCTCCAGACTTGCCCCTCCCAGGGCTATGTTTGACAATGAGGGGTGGCAGGGCTCTATCCATGTGAGACTGTTTCCCACCCCCTTCCTGGAACTTTAGACCCCACCCAGGGAAGGGGCTGGGGTCAGTGGGGAAAATGACTACATCTGGGCTTACAGACCTGTGGAGTAACCCCAGGCCTGAGGGAACCAGAAGTGAACTGAGGACTATGGATTTTCTGGGGTTCTTGCACACGTCCCCAAGACTACGGCCAAAGTGGAGGTCCTTGGATGGTGTCATAACAGCCTTGGGGATCTGTATTATTGGGTTTTGTGTTTTTCAATGATAGCTTGTCCATTGAATTCATTTCACTGAAGCAACATAGCCCTCTTGTGTTCAAAAGAGGTTCCTCCTCACTGACTTCATTTTTGATCGAGCCCCTTTACACCTGCACTCTGAAAAGCAACCAGTTATGATTTCTTTTACCAGCACATCCGCCCACTTTAGGGTGCTGCTCACGTGCACCCTTTCCCCCATCCACACATGTTGGTGCAGCCCTTTACTCAATGAGTCGCTCCCTCCTCAGTGAAAGAAGGTATTTATTGGCTGATAGGACTCAGAATCCTATTTTTCCTGTCCTCTAAATATTCCACTCACCCTGGTTATTTACAGATTTATTCTGTTATGTAAAAGCATCTTTTTATATTCCATAGTCTCGCAAACCATGTTGAAAGCATGCATTGTTAAAACTCTTGGAGTACAAATTGTATAGCTTGGCAGCTGGAAGTCGCAAGACTTGCTTTTCCGGGCGTTGATACATTCCTAAGTTACTTAATTCAACTTAACAAGCTTCTTATTCAGCACCAAGCCATGCCCCAGGCAGTGTGCTAAATTTATAAAGCTACTGAGGGGAAAAGAAGAGCCTTGTCTCTGGTCTAATGTCCCAGGGAAGGTAACTTCCGGTTTCTGTTAAGAATCCCTCATACAGGAGTTGTTTTTCTCCCCCATTGGTTACTATGTCACTGTTCTTTTTTCATTATTACTAGTTCAGTAGGCCTGACTATGGCCAGGAAGAGCCCAGGACTTCTGAGCTTCCTTTAGACTTCTGAGAAGCCAGGGTCTGGACAAGGTTAAGAAAAGAACGATCTGCAAAGTACCGAAGATCAGTTCTTCTTGGTGCTGTCACTACTTAGTGAATGTCCCAGGCCAGTCAGGCTGAGACAAAGCTCTGAAGGTGCTTTTTCATCCCTCCAGGTGGAGTTGGTGGTGCTGATATTTAAATTCAGGTTCTTCAACCTCAATTGCTTGGTGAGAAGGTGATGATGACCTGTGGTGAAGGTCCTTCCCTGCTCACCTGACTGCTGTCAATGCATTTACTCATTATTTAGACTCGTCTAAAATTATGGCTTTCTTGCTTTAAAAATATCCTGTTGTCCTGATTGTACTTTAAAGGCCTATGGGACTAGCTGACCACAAACCCTCAGCAGGCTAGTACTTCTGAGTGAGGTGGAGGTGGGGGGGGGTGGTGGTGGTGGTGGCTGGACCAGGAGCAGCAGCAAGGAACTTGCCATAAATATAAATTACAGGGCCCACCTCAGACCTGCAGACAGAAACTCTGGAGCGCAGACCCAGAATTCTGAGTTTTCACAAGCCCTGTAGGTAATTCTGCTGCACTGTGAAAAGTGCTTTGGGCGACACCCAAGAAAATAATTCCACAGGCAGTACCAGGTACAGCCAGCTAGCATACTCCGTCCCTGTCTGTCTCAAAGTTCCCAACTGCGAACAGATGTAAGGGCATCTAATTTTGCTAATAAGTAAAAACCCTAGGTTGGTGCTAATGCCGGATGACTGACCTTGGCTTGTCCCCAAGCCTTGGTCTCCTCTTACCTTCTCATCTGTGCTGGACTTCTGAGGAAGACAAATGATGCTAAAAGCCTAAATTCCAATGAAATCACATTAATAGTTAGTCAGTCATGCTTCTAAAAGGAATGTTAAAGCACAGCTTATGTGTCTGACTTTCAGGATATCTGTCTGTGAGACGCATACAAAGTTGTTAAAATTTGACCTTGTAGATAATCTGTGTGTAATTTGTTTCTCATACATTCAAGGCTTTGACTTTGGCATTTCACAGTGTGCTAAAATAATGATTTCTCAGAGGTCTCTTATTTTTTGCAAGATAAACTTTATTAGGTAACTTATTTGTAAGAATATTACAGTGATGCTTAAAGTTGAATTTTATTGCTAATTTAACTTACAAGGATTTTTTTCTATGATTTAAATTAATTTACTACAACTAAACTTAATTATTTACTTTATAACCAAATGAAATATATTAAAATACAGACTATTATATATTATTGACTATTTTATATTATACATCCTGACTAAATTACAATATTGTAATGTACTAATATTTCTATAATTATTGCTAAAATGTTTTATTAAATTTTCTGAGAATAAAATTTTTAAAGTTGTGTCTGGTCTTTTTTCTCAAAGATGGAAATAAATTATTTATTGAATTTTAAAAACAATAGGTGTTCACTGTACAATGAACAAAACAGGAATTATGAAGAATGTAAAAATTTCCATGATCTAGCCTTCCACTCCCACCTGCCAGACTTTTTCCCTGTAAGTATATTTTTAAACAAGAAATGGGATTTTTTTTAAAAAATCCAAGATTTTCTTTAAAAAAAAACATATTTTTAAAAAGACTTATTACACTGTGGGCATAGTTTCACATCACTGGACGAGAACCAATCATGGTTTATACTCTCTCTCTTGGGGATTTGGTGAGAACCAAATATAGGCAAAACGGTAACTGAATTTGGAGAACCAGGCTCAATTTAAACTTTCACATCGATATGGCCCCCTATTGATTTTTGTACCCTATTGTTTTTCTAAAAATGCTGACATTGCTCAAAACCTTTTTAGAACTCTTGTCTTAAAGTTATCTTCAACTCCAGTCCATCAGTAAAACATGGAACTAGGCCTCCTGACTTTATTACTCAAGACCTATAATATGCCCAATATATTTGACACAGATATTCATATGAATCAGATATCAAGATACCTTAGTCTCAACATGGAACTTAATAGTTCATAGAGGCAAATGCATAGATAGTTTATAATACTGGAAAGAATGTGATAAGAGCTAAAAAGATGACAAACAGTGATTCAAAAATGGGGGCCTCAGGAAATGATTCACAAGAAAGGGCACATTTAGGTTGTCCTTTAAGGGCAGTTAGAATATCAAGAGACAGAAGGTGGTCTGAGGCAGAAGCCATTCATGTGGCAGAAAAGCATGAATAAGGCAAAATAGTTAGGCAAGCAGGAAGAACTCCCAACTCCATGGAAGAATTAGTGGCTAAGAGTGTATACATAATATCATATATATATATATATATATATATATATATAACAAAATATGGAAAAGTATCAATATAGGAATCAAAGGTCATATTAGCTACCATGTAGAATACCAGAGTGAACATGCATGAAGATTTGAGCAAGAGTATAATGATCAAATAAACAGTAACCTCGAAGAG